ATTTGAAATATACTTTTCCAAAAAAGCCTGAAGCCTTCCTGCTAGGAATAACTGGCAAAGAAATTAAAAAAGAAGATAAAAATCTATTTTTATATGCCACAACGGCCGCAAGAACCATGTTAGCACAAAACTGGAAAAGGGAGGTAATACCTACTATAAGTGACTGGCAAGTCAAGATGATAAACTATGCTGAGCTAGCTAAAATAACAGGAAGATTAAGGGATCAGGACGAACAGAAATTTCATGACAATTGGAACAAATATTTGACGTATATAAGAACTAATTGTAGAACTTTGACGACACTGGTGGGACTGGAATAACTCTAACAGCGAACGACTAATAAGTAAAGGAGATAAAATACGTGATTCCAGAATTTATCTGATACTTACCAAAGGAGTGGAGGGAAGTCTAAGGCTCGGTGGAGCTTAAAACAACTATGTAATATATGTATGGTTCATGGACTGGCTATGACACATGTAATTTATGTATTATACTTTGTATTTGTTTATATGTATATATAATGATAAACCAATAAAAACTCATTTGGAAAAAAAAAAGAAGCAGTGACCACACTCGTATCCAACTCAATGATGCTCCCAAGCTTAAGGACCATCTCTCCAATGTGAACTTCTCTGCACATGCTCAGATTATCGTTGGAGACTCTCTTGGCTAGGTGCAGAGACATTGCTAAGTACTTAACAAAAATGGGCACGAACCCATAGGCACAAATTTGCACATGTGTGGATGCAAATTTAGAATGTAAAGGCCACAAATAACAGATCTGGATATTCTGCAAAAGAGGAAGGGTATCTTTTTATATGCGATGGCAGCGGCAAGAGTTCTGATCGCGGCAAAATGGAAGAGTAAAGAAATCCCCTCTATGCAAGATTGGATCCAAAAGCTGGCAGAATATGCCGAATTAGACAGTCTATCAGAAAAAACAAAGAATAAATCAAAACAGGAATTTGTTTCAAAATAGGAGGTTTTCAAAGAATATTTGAAAAATAAATATAGTAGTTTAAATTCTGTTGCAGCATTCGAGGATCTTCAGTAATAGTTGCAAGGTAGATATAAGAAATTAGATATATTAAGAAAAAGTTTAATTATGATAAAAGTGTTTATTGGCAATAAGTAATATGAAATTGAAATATGGAATATATGGGAGGTTGGTCTTTAGTGTTAAGACCAATATATGTTTTATTGTTTGTTAAGAAAATTATGTGTCTATGGTTATTCCTGTGTGTAATTTGGTATTTGTGTTTTTTGTTTTTTCTTGCTGTATCAATAAAAATAAAAATAAAAAATAGAATGTAAAGGCCACAGAAGGAAGACAACTGAATTACAATAACCCACAAACCTGCTATAAGGCATGGTGTGTAGCTTGCCCTGATTTTAAACTACAACCTTCATTGTTACGGGTTGGGGGCTGAATTATATGATCTCTTGGAGTTCCCCAAACATGTGCTTCTGGCTATAAACACAGGAATCTGGAGAAGAGGTCTGCTAAATGGTTAAATCAGTTTTTGTTTGTTTATTGCCCTGTTTACTGCCCAGCTTTGGGGCTTCCAATGGGCATCTGGCTGGACACTGAGAACATTTTTTTTTTTTTAAAGTGTTGGTGTTGTTTGAATCACATTCTCATTCATATCCTACACTGTGTGATAACCACAATGCAGAATTTAATATTGTCTTGTGATGCCTCTACCAAGAACTTGCATGCCTGTACAGATGATTCATCTGTAGTTTAGAATATGCTGATTTTTATTAATACATTGGCAGAGAAAAATAAACTCTAATTTATACATTCAGAATTGCCCATTAGCTGCTGGGCTGTCTTTTTAGAAACAATATCCCAAATGGTTGAGATTCTCAAAGTATGAGTGGCTGGAGTAGGAATACAATGGTATTAATTCAAAGTCAAGTAGTAGAGAATAGCAGCCATGCAAACCCTTCCCAGCACATTTCCCCTCTTTCAAAATGAATATCCATTTATTCTTGACAACTGCAAAGTGTATTCCTATAATTGCGGAGATAATAGCCCAGCTGATTACATCCATTTGTCAATGGTAACAACTCTCCTTTCCTTTTTTTTTCAAACAAACAAATTATTGCCACTTAGGAAAGTGGAAATGTTGACATTCTCCATAACTTGCATTCAAAAACAATTCGTACGTGTACAAAATGGCTGGTATAATTGTTATGGAAATCTATTGGAGCTTTCCAGTACAGGAAGTGCTGTTCATTTAATTAAGAAAAAATATATAAACACTCTGCTCAGTCTGAAGGACAAACAATCCCAGCTGGACACAGTTGCAAAAACTGTGACGGTAAACCACCAAGGCATGGGTAGGCAAACTAAGGCCTGGGGGCCGGATCCAGCCCAATCGCCTTCTAAATCTGGCCCGCAGAGGGTCGGGGAATCAACGTGTTTTTACGTGAATGGAATGTGTCCTTTTATTTAAAATGCACCTCTGGGTTATTTGTGGGGCATAGTAATTTGTTTATTTTTTCCCTTCAAAATATAGTCAGGCCCCCAACAAGGTCTGAAGGACAGTGAACTGGCCCCCTGCTGAAAAATTTGCTGACCCCTGCACCAAGGTTTCATATGCCAATTCAGTGGAGGGGGGGGGTGCTATCTCCAGGGGGTCAAAAGAAGAAAAAAATTCTGAAGGAAACAGTGGATGTATGATTTTTGTGGTTCATGTCAAATCCCACAGGGCCCTGGTTTCTTGTGACAGAACGTTCCACCAGGCTGGGGCCACGGCCAAAAAGGCCTTGGCCCTGGTCGAGGCCAGTCTAATCTCCTTGAGGCTCGGGAGATTAGCTTAACTGTTTATCAATAGGCTTCCTCCAATGACAAGTGAACAATTATAACATAAAATTCAAGACTAATGATGACATTCCTGAACGAAAGACTACACTGTGAGGAATTCGACTCGTGGTGCATTTACCTTAGTTTGCCATGATTTGAGGGCAATCGATGCAGAACTACAATCTCACATTGCTACATCAAATGACTGTTATTCAGTTCAGTTTCATGAGTACTATGATTTAGCAGAGCTGACAAAGGGCAGGAAAGGTTTCTCCAGCATGTTAACAGAGTAAATTAAGTGGACAACATAGCTCCACATGAGAGGGAAACTGACAAAAACTGGTTGAACGACCTTCCTGCTTTTAAATTGTAGGTTTTAATGTTCAACTGTTTTACCATCGCATACATAAAAGCCACCTTGAGAACATGGTTGAAAGGCGAGATAGAAGTTTTTTTTTTACAAAATAAAATAACAGAATGGAGGCTTTCTTTGAAATCCATGCACTGACAGAAGATAAGCTTGCCTCACAATGCACCATTCATCTTAGCCTTAGTCTTTTAATTATTCAAGGCTAATCAATATGTGTTTCAACCCTTTTAATTGTGAGCCATTAATGGCATTTATTTACCTCTATTCACAGGCTGAAAAGGTACCTTCTCAATTTAACAGTTTGCCATTGTCATTCTAAATTTCAAGGTACAGTGTACTTTGGATAAATTCAGACAGTCGTGAATTGAGTTGTGGCTACTTGTACAAATTCACTGTTTATACAAAAATCCCACAATGTTAATAACTTATATGACCTAGATGCAGGTACTCTCTTCCCTACCGCAAACATAGCGGTATGCCTGGCCCCGAGTGAAAGTGAAACCTTTGGTATGAAAATTACTTTGAATACAACTCTGCCCACACACCCCAGGATCCCATCGTAAGTGCTAAATCTTCCTTAACGGATATAACAAACTAGCACTTCCAACACCGTTATAGCTGTATCAGGAAGTACAGAATCCAGACAACAGTTGGAAATGCTCATTATCATTTGCATTGCAATGTGGATGAAAAGTTCCTCATGCATGCACCTCTCTCTCGCTAGAGCAAAGCTTGCGATAATATAGGAGAACAATCTCTTCCAAATTGCCATGGGCACCGCAACCGGGGCATTACGACAGAAGTTAAGACATGCTCCATAAATGCAATCTGACTCTTCCTTGAACTTAGTCGAGTTAATTGAAGTTGATAAAAAAATAAGTGGCTTGAACACTAAGATGGTGAAACCCTCAAACAGTCTCTGCTGAAGAGTTGTGGGACAAAGAATGTCAGGACTGCATTATACAGTGTTACCTCTGGTTAAGTACTTAATTCATTCCGGAGGTCCGTTCTTAACCTGAAACTGTTCTTAACCTGAAGCACCACTTTAGCTAATGGGGCCTCCCACTGCCGGAGCACGATTTCTGTTCTCATCCTGACACAAAGTTCTTAACCCGAGGTAATATTTTTGGGTTAGCGGAGTCTGTAACCTGAAGCGTATGTAACCTGAGGTACCACTGAATATGAGAATAAGCAGGAAAGAGCAGCTTCAGGGGGGTCACTCACATGTCTGTTGTACTGTCGTTCTTATAACATGCAAAGCAGCCCTGGCATACTTTGATTCCACATCTCTTTGATGAAAACTATTCCAGGATTTGACCCTCTTACTGTTAAAACTCCTTTTCTGATTTCCAACCTCAATTGATTAATAGGCAATTTGTAGCTACTTGTTCCTTTACCCAGAGCTACCTTCAATCCAAATTGCTGCACATATTAAGCTTTAAATGCATAGCTCTGAGAAGAGGGTCAAACTTTACTATCCAGAGGAAGTAAAAGTTGCAACTAGGCTCCAATTCTACATCCACTGTTGGAGACAGTATACTTCCGGATGCTAGTTGCTGGAAACCGCAGGTTGGGAGAGTGCTGTTGTGTTCAGGTCCTGCTTGCCAGTTTCCCATGAGCATCTGGTTGGCTACTGTGGGAATAAGATGCTGGACTAGATGGGACACCAGCAAGATTGAGCTGGGCAATTCTTAAGTCCCTATGGGTACTTTAAAATTGACATTCATGGATCAGGTCCCATTCTCTAGGTCCCATGGCCAAACATGGCCCTCCAGATGTTTTGGGACTACAACTCCCATCACCCTAGCTAACAGGACCAGTGATCAGGGATGATGGGCATTGTAGTCCCAAAACATCTGGAGGACCGAGTTTGGCCATGTCTGCCCTAGATCAGGCTTCCTCAACCTTGGTCCTCCAGATGTTTTGAGACTACAATGCCCATCATCCCTGACCGCTGGTCCTGCTAGCTAGGGATCATGGGAGTTGTAGGCCAAAAACATCTGGAGGGCCGAGGTTGAGGAAGCCTGCCCTAGATGATCAGTCATCAAATAAAGCTCGCAGGAAATTATTTGACACTTGAAGACTTCCAGAACTCTGCAGACACAATCCAATAAGACTTCAATGTAATTAAGACATGGTTTTTTTAATGTATGTTCCAGTTTTCTGCAGACAGGAAACTGAAGCCAAGTGATCATGAAGATGAGTGGCAATATCAGTGATTTGATGCATGGCTGACCCTCTGAACTCACAATTCCAGGGTCAAATCCCAACACAGTAAGTGAAACCACATTGGCTCCCATGCCCTTCATTGGAAAATCTATAATATGCTCATTTCAAGAAGTAAATAATGTATGACTAAAATGCAAATCATAGTACTTAGCACATATGATCAACCCAGAGCATCATTTAAGTAGAGTTGTGTCATATTTTCCAGTTTTGATTTGCAAGTAGAAACAAGCAGATTCAGTGGAATTTTCCCCCCCACCCTAGAACAAAAAAGACTGTATAAAATGTTAACGTAATTCCAATCTTGTTTGGCACCATTATTTCCCCTGGTTGTATCATCTTCTCATTTCTGGTTCAGCAATGCAAGCGGATCCTATCCCATCACTGAACACACGGAATGGAATCATGTTACAGTCCTACATAGCCAATCAGATTTAGCTATGTGATGAGTTCAGCATGGGCTAGTGAGAATGAGCAACATTTAAATGAATAACTGAACATTTTCGCCGCAAGAATTGAAAAAAGTATTTTTCAGCATAGCCAAAAATATTCATGAAAAATGGTGAGTAGCTGCAGCTCAGCTCATCATCTTCCACTGAAAATCTTGGAAATTTGGAAAGGAATGGCAAGTATCAGTTTAAAGACAAAAAAATAATAATCAAGATGTGATTATTCGACACATGGCCATTACATTTTTCAGTGCTCATTGAGAGTTAGTGCTGTTTTACGGAGAATGAAATAGTCTCAAATGTTACATGTTTTAAAAATTGGATACTTGCCAAATGCTTTGATGATTGGAAAAAAAAAATCTTAAGAATGTCTGCAGATCAAATTACAAGGATACAAGTATTACACTAATCAGTAAAACAAAAGACTGCTTTCATCAACAAGTGATCACAGGTTGTCACTGTCTCTGACTTCAGGAGATTTGATGGAAGAAAACTTGATGATATAAATTAGAAATGACAGTCCACTGAAGGGAGTTAACACAGGGGTCACGAACTCTTTAACTAATTTCTGAAGCTTATCAATGTGAAGAGACATATCTATTTTCAGCCTGCGTTGCTCACTCAAGAAACCAGAATGTGGGATAAACTGGTACCTTGAACTCTTTAAATTTTATTAATTTCACCCCGCAAAGAAAATGACAGAGTCCTCCCCCGTGGTGTAAATTAGCTACGTGAAGAAATTTGTCCTATGGGTACAACCCAACACACACCAATTTAAGGCTTCCTTCCGTTTTGAAGAAGCTGTAAATAGGATTGGGGTATAAATATAATTTGTACATTTTTCGCCATAAGGTGCCACTTGCAGTCATTCCATAATGGAGATGCATGCATGTAAAACTAGTTGATTAAAAAGGAATGGTGAAAGAAGAAGACTGTCACCTGTGACAGATTTTGGAAAAAACTGGGGGGCGGGAGGAGGAAACAACAAGCTTGCAGAACCTGTGCTGCTTCACAACACACAAAAATGTTGTTCTCTTCTATCTGGTGCAGATCTCTCTCAAGGGTACTGTAAGAAGTCATGACACGGTAGAGAAAACCCATCATGTGGATCGAGAAAGAAAGAAATGTGAGTGAGTGTCTGGGTCTCCCACAGGCATCTGACTTGCTACTGTGATAACAAGATGCTTGATTATGATGGGCTTTGGGCCTGATCCTGCAGCACTCTTCTCATATTCTGATGAGCCTCTCGGTACACAAATGTGATTTGTTGTTGTTTAGTCGTGTCCGACTCTTCATAACCCCATGTGATAAAAGCTTTGATTTCACAGGGGACAAGAGTGGTGTTCTCTAGCAGACATAAAATTTTAGCCTAGAAAATGGAAAACTGAGATGAAGCTCCAAGTCAGGGGTAGGCAACCTAAGGCCCGGGGGCCGGATCCGGCCCAATCGCCAGTGTGTTTTTACATGAGTAGAATGTGTGTTTTTATTTAAAATGCATCTCTGGGTTATTTGTGGGGCCTGCCTGGGGTTTTTACATGAGTAGAATGTGTGCTTTTATTTAAAATGCATCTCTGGGTTATTTGTGGGGCATAGGAATTTGTTCATATTTTTTTCCAAAATATAGTCCGGCCCACCATATGGTCTGAGGGACAGTGGACCGGCCCCCTGCTGAAAAAGGTTGCTGACCCCTGCTCCAAGTGAACCTTGGCCAATGACAAGGCGAGGAATTCAACCTAGCACTATGGCAGTTGTTCCATCAGTGCAAGCTTTGCCGCCTGTCTCCTCCTCCCTGAACTGTTCTGGGGTTTCTCACAACCCCCTGACCCAATTTTGGAGGTGGAGCATGCAGAGGGAGAAGAAGCGGGGAAAGCCCTGTTGTGCTAGTGGAAGTCCTTGCATGGTCTTCTGTTAGCGGGGCATTAGTGGAATCCTACCCAAGAACTGCAAAACACACTACTGTATTCACTAAAAAAGAAAAAAGCTATGTGGGTGATAAATAAGACTTGCTTCCCCTGAAATGAGCAAAAAAATCCTTCCCGATAAACTACTAATGCTTCCATTCAAACTCATGGTGACTCCATGCGGCTGGATTTACCACAACATTAAATAAGGAAGGGGCAGAAATGCTATGCTGTTTATGATTTCTGGTGAAATCTTATTCTCATATCTCTGAAATGGAACAGATCTTTATTGTTAGCAGACACAAGAAGTCACAAAGAACTTGCAGGGTGATCCATCCCATGCCATTGTTCCCAACTTCTGTTAGCCACAATAGCTGATGGAGAACCTAGACATGATGTTTCTCTTGCACCTTGGTCAGTTTGCTAATAGACAGGGACAGATCTATCCTTCATTGATATGTGTACCCTTCTTTGAACCCAGCTGCTTTAGGGGCCTTCTCATTAACCCAATGCAATGAATGAAATCTAGCCAAGGGTTGCACAGATAATCATTTCCCTCCCTTTGCCTGTACAGAGGTATTGAACATGCTGGGTATGGCTGATGGGAGTTGTAGTGCAACAACATCTAGAGGGGACCATGTTCCTGCCCTAACTGTACACCTATATCATTTTGAAAGTGACCTCTTATAATAAGAGAAGTCTCCAAATCTAAGCAATTAGTACTAAATAACTGCCCAGTAAAGCCTATGATAATAGATCTGAGCCAAAAAGCGAAGCTTTATGCTCACTTTAATTAACATAAGCCTTTGTTTGGTAGAAAACCTGAATCCAATTTTACAAAGTTTGTCATATATATGTTTTTTGATTCTGTGTGACTAAGAAGTGAGATATGGGAGATAAAACTGTCATAACACAGCAGATGCAGAATTACACTTTGAAAAGCTAATCAATCCACTCCCCTCCGGCGTTTTTATTTAGCTGCGCGCTACTTCACTAAAAAAGAATTTACTTCACATCTGGAATTTACTTCCAGCTGTGAGGACTGCCCATTCCAGTGCAGTGAGATAATCTAAAAGTTGTCTGCTATAATTAAACTAGATTACAGAAAAGGTTCTCAAACTGTCATAGCAGGCTTCCCCAAGTTGATGGAAGTGTCAAAACCTCAACAAATGTGAGAGTAAGGGCTGATGTTTAAAAAACCGAAGGACCACGGGGAAGCTGCCGAAAAGCACTTACAATTCTATACATTGATAGTATATAGCAGCTCTAAGGATGATAGGATAGCACCAGTATTTAGACAGAGAGCAGCTGTGTGAAAGACCCTTGTAAATAAAGTTACAGGGCTGAGGAATGGAAATAAAAATTAGTAATGTCCCTGATTAGAACAGGGGTTGGGAATCAGCTCAGGGGGCCACATTTCTTTGTGAACAACTTTCGGAGAGCCATGCCAGTGCTAGGTGAGGCCAGAGGCAAAAATCATCACGGCCAGAGGGAAAACTGGATAGAGCAACATATGTTACTCTCACTTTTGTACCACATGTTGCAATCGCAGCATAAGGTTTTTCTAGACACCCCACCTCCCAATTCTCCACTCAAGCAAGCAAGAGGCATTGCTACAGGTCAAGGATACATTCCAGACAGGCAATATTACTCAAGGAAGGCACAGAGCAAGGCCTGTGAGGAGTGTGGCCTACAGAGAGGCCTGAGGGCCAGAGAGAGAGAGAAAGAGATCTAGAATGCCGCATGTGCTCCCCTGGCCTCAGTTTCCTCACCCCTAGATAAAAAGATAGCTTCTGTACTCCAGGGAAGGCTGGCTTAGCACTATTTCTTCTTTGGCGATCACTCGTAGCCGAGTAAGATTGTCTTCCATGAACACGTTTCTCCCTTTCGTCCTGAGTTTGAGCATCTTCAAAGTCCATGACACCTTTGGTAAAGGCTGTTCTCAAATTGGAGCGCTCACAGGCCAGTGTTTCCCAATTGTCGGTGTTTATACTACTTTTTTTTTTTAAGATTTGCCTTGAGAGAGTCTTTGAACCTGTTTTGTTGACCACCAGCATTACGCTTCCCATTTTTAAGTTCGGAATAGAGCAGTTGCTTTGGAAGACGATAATCAGGCATCCACACAACATGACCAGTTCAACATAGTCAATGTTGAAGAATCATTGCTTCGACACTGGTGATCTTTGCTTCTTCCGGTACACTGGCATTAGTTCGCCTGTCTTCCCAAGTGATGTGTAAAAATTTTCAGAGACACCATTGATGGGATCTTTCGAGGAGTTGGCTTTTATAAGTGGTCCATGTTTAGCACTGTTTATATACTGACTGGCTGCAGCTCTCCAGGTTCTTAGGCAGTGAACTCTCCAAGCCCTACCTGGAGATG